ATGTGGACAGATATGTAACGTGATGCACGCGTTAATGACATGTATAAAAAAAGAATTGGAATTTCCTTTCCCATACAAATCATTTTATATATGTACCTACCTTGATGCGCTATGTATTTTATTGTAAATTAACTAACGGTAGGAAATCGAATCGGTCACAATATTTAAATTAAAGACTGGACTCGCTTGACATCCCAATTTTGCTAGCTCGTCATTGTAATTTCTCCTTGCAATTCGCGCGTGGATGAAGTCATGCAACCCATATCAGTTATTCTTTCCGTAAGGTATGATATCATTTTCGAATAGAATTTTCTTTGGACTTGTTGTTCATTTCTACTACATTCCAACAGAAAATGAAAACTGAATTATCAACATTTGATATGGTATTCACTTTTATTACTAACTAGTCGGATTAATTTATTTGTTTAATAAAACTTTATTATCGTTTATCTAAATAGTGTTCGATATTCAACACTGACGTATTACTTGGTATCCTCAAGGAACGTAGCGAGGTGGTATTTGTATTGAAACTCATTAGATCTTCAGCGAAGGACATTCGTTTCCTAAGGATGACAACCACAATTGTTGGCGAAACGTCGAATGAACGACTCCATATAGGTTTACAACAATTTCTCTTTCTTTTGACCTTTCTTTATTCAAATTTTGTTAATGAAAAATTGAGAAAATTCAAAAATCAAAGTATGCTGTGTGTGCGCTGGACCGATAATAACTTGAAAACTAAGGACTGTGAAAAAATTCGATTATAATTACGGATTATCAGTACTTGCAGAGTAAAATTGATACGTCGAGATTAAATGGAAAATGTTAAGATAAAAAACTTTTAGAATAAAAAAGAAACATGTACTATACAACTTCGCCTGTAAAAACAATTGTATTGAAAATAACGCATTTTCTAAGAATAAATAGAAAAAAATGGTCATTTTGAAGGTTAAATGTAAATCAGGTGCTACCGAAGCGGAAAAGATGAAACTATAATTTTAAAAGTCATGCAGTTACCTAGTAAGTGAGTTGAATATCAAAAAGAATAATACGTCGATAAATTATTACTTACAAAAAGTAGAAAGAAAAAGTAAAAGAAACATCACAAATTTATGTAGAAGAGAAAAGGATGGATAAAAGGGCTGAAGAAATATTAGCGGAAAATTAATTCGATTTTAGAATATATTTAGAAAAGTCTTTGGACGATTTTAAATGCTAAAGGATTCTAAAAATACTTAAAAATGTAGGGATGGATCAGGGGTTTTATATGCATATAGGTTACATGTGAAATTTTCTTTAGTATAGATGAGGGTGTTTCCCTTAAAGCTATGCTCAAGCTAACAAGCAAAAATTCCTAAAATTTTTGTGCAACACATTTTTATTTCTATTCATGAATAGAAAAACAAGCTAAGATCAAACATACATACAATTTAGACATCTTTCAGCAGTGAGTTAGTTTAATATGAAATATTATTCTGAAAATTCATTTCTGAATTTTTTACCCACTACACGCTACCTCAAATTAATGAGGGAAAAATTGTTGCTGTTGTCACACCCCCGTCGGGAATCGAACCCGGGACCTTTGGCATTACGCATCAATGCTCTGATCACTAAATTACGAGAGGTGACAACAGCAACAACGACAAACCGTATGTAAATCCAAAAGTCCCGGGTTCGATTCCCGGCGGGGGTGTGACAACAACAACAATTTTTCCCTCATTAATTTGAGGTAGTGTGTAGTGGGTAAAAATTCAGAAATCATTTCACAAAACACTCGACGAATTACGACAGTTTCGGCAATTATTCTGTTATTCATAAGAATGCAGCTTCTATATAGTATTTTGTTTGTATTTTGTTTTTCTATTCATTAACAAAATTATCATCATGTTTCAATAAACTATAACCCATTTTTATATAGTCTTTGGTTTTCCAGTTAGCGTACATGCCATAATTTGTCAGCGGGTCTAACATATATGGGGAGTTAAACCCCTTAACGTTGCCTAATACTATATTATTATTTTCAGTGGATGTTTTTCTTGTCCCACAATAATTTTTCGTGTTTAAACTCTGTGGGTCATGTATAGAAGGATTATACCCTATACCATAATTTGTCAGCGGGTCTAACGGCTATTTATGGGGTGCTACACCCCTTAACGTTGCCTAATAGTATATTATTATTTTCCAGTGGATGTTTTTCTTGTCCCACAATAATTTTTTGTATCTAAGATGCGTGGAGGGATTATACCTGCCTATCTGACACACCGTGTAAAGCAATAAAATAACTTTATACCATTTCTTATGAAGTTAAAATCAACGGACAATGAATAACCATTTTGGTTAGGCGTTGGTTACATTATTATTTCAGTTTTAATATACCCAAAATAAGTAATTCAACCCCAAATGCATTTATGATTGAATCGCGTTAATATGATTTTATATTACGTGTCCTCTATTTTTATTTGAATTACTTCACAGAGACGAGAATTCTGATCATGACACTTTACTGTAGGTTTATGTAAATAAGATGTAGTAAATTAAGATTGTTTTCTAAAAACCAGTTTTTACATAAAATAATATAATATTATACATATTTTTATGCCGAATTTTGTACATCTGCAAATTACGTTTTTACTACATTATCATTTTGTTTTTATACGATTCGAAAATTTCATGGAAGTTGTAATAACGTACATACATACCTACATTAGGATTGTTTCGCGTTTATCAAAAATATGCGATATAAGCAACAATAATCATGCGTAGGAGTCTGATAATTTTTATCAATCAGATGTCTACAACATGATGATAGTGGAATGACGCCTCAACGATAAGGTCTAGGGAAATCTCTGTTTACGAAATTATTGAAAGTTTACAAAGTAATTTTACAATAAAAAACGTTTAAATAATTTTGGGCATACCACAGGCATGTAACTTGGAAGTGCCTATGCATGTACAGAGATCAATTAAAATTTGATGTTACTAATTTTAAATAATTAATCTTTTTCTGCGGAACAAAAGTTTGGGTCTCCGTAACGTATGTGTATTATTTCAAAAGAAACGAAAACACTAAAATCTAAATTTAACTTGCCACATAAACGTCAATACATATACATAAATATTTCTAGAATCATCAGCTTCTAGAATTTACTCATTACTCGACTCGAGCAAATTTTATAGCCCGTTGGCCACATGCTTTTTTGTAGTTTGTTCATTGACATTGTAAAGGATAATACCTCGCTTCCGTGAAAAATATAACCCATAAGTACAACAAGATCTCTTGACTTAATCAGTGTCATTAAAGTATAATTATCATTAGTGCATACTAATGAGATAATACAAAAATTGATGAATGAATATTGCACAAATACCGCTGTACATAATTGTTTTACTTACGAAATTCGTGGACCACGTGCTCAGTAGTTAATAAGGAAACTTTAATCAAAAGTGAGTAAAAGACATTTGCATTTCATAATCTACAAAAATCAATTATGATCGTGTCGGACACGTATACGATAGGGTTGCACGTTCAAAACTAAAAGAATATACACATGATTGTTATAATTTTTATTGGATTAAATTACTAATCAAAAGTTGCACTCAGATTTTTTTCATAATTGAAAAATTATAATACGAAGAAGAGTTTTCTTATCGACTTTATAAACAAATGTTTCGTGATGGTTTAAATAAAAATATCGTAAAACACTTTTCATTCCGTCTATCTGTAGATAATCAATGGGGTAAGTGAAAAATTAAGTAGGTCTAGTTTTCATTCTAAGGGAACGGGATTCAAATAATTATTTCTTCAAGTAGTTCATTATTTCTGTATTTAAACCACTCTTCGATACGGCCGTATGATAAACTTTTTAATATGAAGTATTGCAGTATAGGTATATGAAATAGATCCATAAATGAGGGATTGGGATGTCTAAGCTGTAAGGCCCCTATGTTGACTGAATCCCTAAATTGTCGGAGCAGGGACTGCAGTTCAAAAATGCAAATGCTTTGTAGATAATACTAAAAGATCTAACCATGTATAACAATAAAGAGATGGGGATTACACTTTAAAACATCAATTTTAGAAGTTATATTTCTTTTGGTACATTAAGAGTAAACTTATGGTATGCAACGGAAGTTGCGCGCGCACGGCTACCGAAAATTTGGCAGTATGAAGTTGGTGGAATGACTGCGAGTTAGCGTAGCGATAACGTAGTATGTTCAAGGCGAAAGCTGTTGTTCGTTGATGGGGGTGAGTTCGCACCCCGACTATTAGAGGCGGCACTACTCGGTAATATCATTTAAATATGTGATCGCAAATTTAAACATACACCTGACGCAAGAGCGATAAATAATAAATCGCAGTGACAGTTTTCCATCAATTCGCATTCTTTTGTTTTGATTTGTTCTCTTTTATCATGTCGAAAATGAAAAATATTTTTAATCAGTAACAATAATAACAATCTTAATATTAACGAATCTCTTTTTGGATAACGTGTAACATAAACAACACTGGAAGGCAATAACTTTTTAACGGGTCAACGGTTTGTGTACAAATATTCTGAATGAAGAATTTCCGAAAATATTAAAAAAGACAATAAGGTGGACAAATGCGGATTTGTCATAAGGGTGAAAGCTTTTTCCAAACCGATACTTTACCTATAATTCATTGATGCACTTTAAATTTTTCCATGCTATGTTATAGAAAAAGAGAAAAATTGTTTAATCAATCCTACACTACGTATGTCTTCAAATTCCAACCCTGCTTTGAATCCCTTTTGCAAGTAATTATGGTTTTACCGTTTATACATTTCCAATTTCAAGAAATGGACAGACTTCAATGCTTTCTATTTCTCCGAATTCGAATACGATGTCAGTACCGAAGTGCGTCCTTTAATGAAGCAGGTCAGAACTGTTCAAATTGAAAGCGCAAACCTTGTGCCTTACCGCAAATATCCGTTGACAAGGTAACACCAATAACAAAAGAAATAAATCTGGATACTCACTATTGACACGACTTGCACATGATGGGTGGTGACACCAAAAAAGTTTTTACTTTCGGCTTGGGATTTCTGCTACGAAACCTCGTCGTGCATTCTCAAACACCTTGGTTAAACTGTATCACGACGCCGTGTGCCACTTTTGCGTTAATATTATTATTGTTATTATTATCACGATATCAGTAATCGCACTGTGATTACAACGATTCGTTAAAACGGCCCGAGGAGATACCTGCTGACGAAGAAGCGCGGTGATACCTGATGACTACGGCGACGCTCTGTTCAAAACTCAATGGACAGGTACCTATTATTGTCGCGCGCGTTTTGTTGTGTTGTTACCTTGACTTTATTTTATTAAAGGTGGACCGACCGAAAGGTTCGCCACACAGCACCCATAAGCTGCCGTATTTTTGAATGAATCGCTCGAGGCTCTCGCACTTGTCGGACGGATTTCCACAAGAAGTTGTTCACTCCGGTAACGTAATCATCATGGGAAGCGTTAAAAAGTTTACAGTGATTCACGAACGCGTTCCGATGATCGCGAATTCTATTATTGTGATTTCACATGCATAGACGGACAGTTGAGTAATTATGGTGCCCCTTCTCCATCTTCTAATATTTAAATACGGAAATAAAAATAAGTGGAGGGGGATATTTTTAATTTTATTATCGATCTAAGCTGTAGCGATCTTCTTGTCTTGACAAAATGATATTTTTGAATAGATTAAAATTGACGTTTAAATACCTGGAGATTATATTGGTATTCAGTAAGAGCGAATGTAAAGATAGGAGACGAAAGATTAGAAGAAGTGGCTGATTTAACGTATCTAGGAAGTCAGATAAGTCAGGACGGAAGGAGTAGTAGGGAAATAAAACAGAAAAAAAGGAGTTACTTTTATGCTTGCAAACGATTAATTTAGAAATTCGAAAGAGATTGTTAAAGGTTTATGTTTGGAGCGGGGCGCTGTACGGGTGCGAAACATGGACGGTGGACGCGGCGGAAAAGAAAAGGTTAAAAGCGTTCGAAATGTGATGTTACAGGCGAATGATGAGAATACCGTGGAAAGAAAAGGTTAGAGTTGAAGAGGTATTAGAAAGAATAGGAGAACAAAGGGTTTATGGAAATCAATAAGAAATAGGCGAGATAAGTTGATAGGAAACCTTCTCAGATATGAAGAAATCAGAGACATTAGAGATAGAAGCAGGACTTAAGAGGAGTAAACTAGATTAGACCTAGATTAGATTCACAAATAGTTAAGAATGTTGGATGTTCAAGTGCTAGAGAAATGCGAAGATTAGCTCAGGGTAGGAAGGAGTGGAGGTGTGTGTCCAACCAGTCTTATGATGATGATGAAGATTCCTTAAAACCTTTCCATTCTTGAAAATCTTAATATTTACTTATTAACTCTGATTCGTGACTTTGTCAGCACGAATCTATTCCAAATCGTTTATAATAAATACAATAAACCAATAAGCAGAGGTTGGCAAACCTCTTTCAAGAGGCAATTGCGGCTTTACAAGATCATAAAACATTAAAAATAATTATAAAGTGGAACGGTCAGAACACGCAGTCCAAATAAAAAATGGGCGATCTTTGGGTCAATATATTCGTACGGGTAAGTTTTCTCTTCTATGAACTTAATAAAGAACAAACTAAGAAGTCAAGTAACTAATCAAAATTTAGCGTCAAGTCTTAAACTAAAAGCTACTAGTTGCGTGCCGGAGTTACCAAAAATATTTTAACAAATGCGAGCTCACCATTCGCATTAATTTTTTGATATAATTTCAGCCAATAATAGTGAATAAAGTCGTATTTTATCTAAGTACCAGTTCTTTATACGATACAAATTTGATATAAAATGTAAAAGCCGAATTAAAAACTCGTGGCTCTTTGAAATTCATGAAACTACATTTACATTGCGAATGGCTCTTCCAGCTTAAAAGTTTGCCGACCCCTGGCCTAGACCTAGACCATTGCTGACAACCTCCTCAAGTTAATGTCCATATAGTTTCATCAAAGTTGATTCAACCATTTCGAAGATTACTTCATACGGACAGGCAGAGAAAAAATTTATTAAAATGTTTCTTATATCTTAATAGTATTTAAATAACTATACAAACTCAAATCGGTAGGATTTTATAGACAAGCACTACAATTTCACATATATGTAGGTTTTTTCTCGTGTCTAGGGGTTGTTTAATAAGGCTCCGGGTGATTTGATAAATATATAATGATATTAATAATGAAGAAAAAGAACAACGAACATCAAACATCAAAACGAATAACAGAACTAAATATCAGGAACAACTTATTTACAAGTATCGCGTCTTCAAATGTACACGTCTTAATTAATAGCCAAAAATACGTCTTTCGTCTTTGATTTGGCAAATTTCTTCGTCTAAATAAAATGTACCGTCTTACAGCAACATCTTCATACCTTGATCGTCTTTTACTCTCTCCACTCCGGTGGTCTCTTACGTACCCCAACATGCACGCGAAAGTAAAAAAACTTACCCTAGCGTGCGTAAAGAAGTTTCCCTTCAAAAATTCTGCAAAATACATTGCCTCTAAATAAATTAAAATNGGGTGGTGGTTCGGGTGAGAAAGATGAGACGGACGAAATGAAGACAGAAGAGAATGAAAGATTATCTGTGGAATATTACTGCCTCAGCATTTGCCTAGGTGATCCAAGGAAACCATAGAAAAACTTCGACCAAGGCAGACGGACCCGGAATCGAACCGGCGTCCTCCCGAATGCTAAGCAATGGTTTAGACCTCTTGGCCGTGCCGTTCGGTACTCTGGTGGTCTCTCACGTACCCAACATGCACGCGAAAGTAAAAATAAATTATCGATCTACCACCACCTAATTGGTAATAAAAAATAATTCAAATCCTACATACATATATATAGATTGTAGATGTATTGATGTACTAGATGTTATCATCATATCGTTAGCTCTAAGATTGGTTATCCTGACTCAATCTTCTTAGCTGCTGTTTCTAATATATCCCTAACTAGCCCTTCATGCCTGAGGAGGTGTCCTATCAACCTATTTCGCCTACTTCCAATGCGCTATCTGCTCTCATATTCATTGTAATACCTCAACTTTTACAACCTTTTCTATCCACTTTACCCTTATCATTCGCCTGTAACACCACATTTCGCACGGTTCTAATTTTTTTTTTCGGCTGCGCCACCGTTCACGTTTCGCACCTATACAGAACCGTACTTCAGACATACACCTTCAGCAATTTCTGTCGAATTTTTTAACCGCCCGTGAACATAGAAGAAACTTCTTTTTGTTTAAGGCGACTCGACCCTACACTATCCTCTGATTTATACCCCTACTGCTCTTTCCATCCTGAGTTATCTGACTTCCGAGTTACAGAGAATCCGTCACTTCTTCTAATTTCTGTTTGTGTTAGATGTATAGATCGGAAATACAATAAATTTGTCAAAATCAAAATATTTCTTCCTCAAAACTTTTAAATGCCATGTCTTCCCTAAAAGATTACTGAGAGGTAAAAAGGTTTATTGTGATTGTGATTTGTAATTATGTATTAAAAACATCCGCGCGCGTCCCTTTCTAACCTTGCGCCCCTAGGCATGTGCCTAATTTGCCTAACGGATAATTCGCCACTGATCTTACCATAAAGATTTTATTTTCTTAGATATAAAACTGCTTGAAGTAATAACATGACTACCTTTAAGAACTTGTTTTAAGTCCCAGCGATACAAAGCAATACAACTAAGAATTTTGGGGTTTTTGCGATTTATTTTTGTCAAACTATCTAATTTCACATTATTTGTTGAAAGTCGAAGCAAGCTTACAATATCTTTTGTTTTATTCTCTCATTTCTCCATGAAACAAAGGAGATGAATGTTTGTGACTGACTGTATAGCATATTAGTTATTCGCACATGGGAGAGTAAAAATCATAAGGAATTCGTTCTATAGTCGGAGTGGCTTTTCGCTTTCATGTAGCAGACTTCAAATATCACGTATACGTATTCAGCTTTTGTATTTACTCAAACAAATTTAATGCGCAAATATATAAATAAGTACGTGTTCAAAATTTTCTTAGGTAAGTGTGAAACACGCTTCAGAATTTTGCTTCATTTATGCAACATTTTTGATCACTTTGCAGATAAGTAAAATGAAAATTAACATGTACTTGCAGAAACTTTTAGCAGATTTAATGCCCCGTTAAAAATTATATATTCCGTGTACATACCAACACGAAAAATGTTTACAGGCACCTACAGTATCTTAATATTTAAATGATGAAAATTTCTTCGCTCATTTGATTTATTTTAACAATTAACTGCATCAAACTTACAATGTAACTGCTGATCTTGAAGTACTATTAAATCTTATGTGTGAACTAGCCATTGTGATGAAATAGAATCCGCTGTGCTTTGCTTCAATAATTATTTGAGAAGTGATAGTTTTTTTACGACACCTTGTATAGCAAGAACGCTATTTAAGAACGAGCTTTGAAATAGATGACACCGTTTTTCTAGTGTTTTTAAGTCAATGTACACATTCACTACGCACAATACGTACTTTCGGTTATTGTTTACCGAACAGCAGGTCGATAAATTTTGTATAAATAGCCTAATTGGCAGACAATTGTTAAGTATCTAAACTAAAAATAGCCAGTTGAGTTAAGATTATTTTCGTTGCGCATAAAGTCATCAGCCATCAGTCGCATTGTTTTTATGACTAATCACTTCGAATGTAACGATTCTGCAGTGCTGCTGATGATGAATGCTGAAAATCCCACGTTTGCGTAACAACCTTGTGAACAGGTCTACAAATTCATTTGGAATCTCTGTAGACGGAAATTATTACAAAAACAGTAATTTAAAATTTATGGAAAAGGTCACCTACTGATTTCAGATATAATGAAAACCAATCAAATTATTACTAGTCCGCTCTTCGGTAATTCAGTAGTAATAATATCAGGAAAGAGTCAGGAGGCACTAAGGCGGAAAGACTATTTAGGGAATTTAGGAGATTTTTTAGAAAAAAAAAATAGCGTGAAGGTAGATAAACAAGGATGACTTATAATTCAGTCCTGAGACTGATTAGACATGCACCTCCACTCATTCCTATCACGAACTAATCTAAAAAAATTAAGGAATAGTAAGACACAAACGTCAAAAGGTTAGTGGACATGCCAAAAAAAGAATGCGGGTAGTTGTGAGAATTTTAAAATAATTACGTTAACCTCCCATACTTCAAAAATCATGAATCATGGTCATACAGAGAAGGATGGAATGTAGAATATAGGACGGAAAAAACTTCTGGGTTTGTCAAGAAATAGGGGAACGCGCGAGGTCATTTTAGCCTTACGGGTAGATATTAGTTGAGAAAAGATATAAGACAGGACAGCTTTAGGCATACAGGGGTAAAAGGAGCGGTATTGATAAAAGCGTATATGAAAATCATGAAAAACAAAACTGAAATATGGATATGTAATAAGGGATGTAAAAATAGAATTAATAGTAACAGAAGCAGTAGACGAAAAACTAATGAAACTGCTGGTTTTGGAAATAACTTTGGATGGAAAAGGAGGCGCTAGAGGCGCTAGATATATAAAACTGAGAATAGCGGAGGATCGGGTCACCTTTAACAAAATGAAATCACTTATGTGCTCGAAATACTAGAAAGAGTGGAAAAACTGGGGAAATCAATAAGAAACCTCAGACATTAAGGGCTAGTTAAAGACATATTAGAAGCAGAAACAGGAATTAAGAGAGGTAGAGGTAGATCTACCATAAATTAGATAACTGTTTGCAAATAGTTAAAGATGTAGGTTTCTCTAATTTTTGAGAAATGCGAAAATTAGCTTTAGATAGGAAGATGTGGAGGTGCATGAGCCTTTTCCTTGTATATTGTTTAATTTCAATGAGAATGAGGTTGAAATGTTTGCTCATTATAATGTGTATATAAGGAATCAAGTGATTGTGTTTTTTCGGGTAAATCAATTTAGGTCATTGAGACTATTCAAAATCCGTTGTGACTTAAGGTTATAGCAACTTCATAATTTTTTCTCTTTTGGAGAACACATAAAATCAGTGAGAATGCACTGTTACTGATTACGTCTGTTTATTCGCTACAGAACCGTAGTAACAGTAAGTGATTTCTTATTGGCACAATTCAAGCAATAACAAATTTTTCTTCTGATGATGTTATTCGAAAACAATTCTCGCTAGCTGAAGTTTAATGTAAGGATGGTATATACATACATTATCTACTTATACATATGTCTGTATTTCATTTACTTACCTTTCTCACAAAGTGATTAGAAATAATTAAGGAAAACTAGTTGTTAATGTAACAGCAATTTATATTTTAAAAAGTGGCTGCGGATAAATCCATTAATAAACGCAAATAATAGTCCGGAAACTTTCGACGACTACTTTAGCTTCATTAGTATTTAAAATTTAAAAATAATTTCCTTTGATCTCAGAAATGATTAATGATCGTTAAATTAGGAAAATAGCGGAAATTAATATGCAATTTACCTTGATAATTTCGAAACTGTGTATCAACAAGCGAAAATGCTCCTCTCAAAAATTCAGTTTGATACTGTTCGTACTTCAAGTAATTTCTTATTATCAAAACAACTTAATAATTTTTCATGAATGATATTATAAAATTACGCAACTGTTGAATCATATTACTAATCTTAATTGGCAAGAATTACTAATGATTATTTGCAAATTTCTTTTAAAACACGAACTTGCTTTGGTTTCCCCCTTATTGTGCAATAAATAATAACAAATAATTTATAGTATGACAAGGTTACAAATCATTTCGTAATCGATATTTTAGTGCATTGCGTGAAATAATATGTAAAAAGAACTTTTTTACTCAATTAAAGGTAAAGTTTTTGTAGTGTGACCATTATCACCTATCTCTATCGTTTTAATGACGCAGTCATTACCCTTCAACTCTATTTTATTTATGAGAAGTGTTGAAGGACTTGCATATCTACGTAAATGTAGTATTAAGTGCATAGCTAAATAAAAATGTTTCATAAAAACATTATAAAAGCTTTGGGCCTTTGAATGTTTTTAACGATATAATGAGCGATTCGTGGTGTTCAATTTACTAACTAAATTTAAAAGCAATAAATGGTTATGTTATGCTGAATAGCAAATTTCACAGTCTTAGAAAGTAGGGTGTATCGTGATTAAAATATCGTCATGATGATAAACCTGCATAAAATATTTCTTTGTATAGTCCAATTTTATCCATGTGTTGAAATTTTTATTTTTGTTGAGAGCAATAAATAAATACATATAAACATATAAAGTTAAACTTAATAGTTAAAAACGAGAATACTCCTTTAACTTTTCACCCTAGAGAAGAAATATTTTCTGCAAATTTAAATAGAACAACCTTTGAGATATGGCCTATCCAATAAAATAATAAAGCAATAATAATTAAAAGCGGTTCATAATTGGTGAAGAAATCGCGCTACATAAACTAAACAAAAATAAAGTCAAATTGAGAACCTCCCCTGATTTTAGAAGTCGGTTGAAAATGAGACTCAAGTTATTAACGCAAGAGATTATTTTATGTAAAAAGGCATAAGTAGGTACATCTACGTAAAAGGGGTTTAATAAATTTTGAAATATTGAATATTGAAGCAGCCTATATCTCTAACTCTAATCTAGCTCTACCTCCCTCTAGTTTCTGCTTATAAATTTTTCTAACTAGCTCTTCACCTCTATGAAGGTGTTCTACCAACCTATATGTTGCATTGTTTCCGCCTTTTGTTCTGCTTTTTCTAATACCTCCCCACTTCTAACATACCAGGTTTCACTCCCATACAGAGCCATGCTCTGAACATACGGCTTTAATAATCTTTTTTGAATTTTAATACGGTAATGTAATTATTGATGACATATAAAATGGAAGAATTTTTTGAGTTCACATATTTTATGAAACAATTATTAAAAATGGTATTTGATAGTTTGTATTAACGTATAGTCGATATTATACAAAATATACTTACATATACGTATATGTTAACTATACCAGGTGTCAAAAAAGAAAGTTTATAATATTGGATTAGTTTATTATGTAAACCCAGTTATTTGGTGAGGGGGGGGGAGTTGTATGCCAATCGATTGCCTGCTTTCTGCATTGTAGGAATTCAGTCACTCCATATTTGTCGGGAGCGGACGGCACGTTCTGTGTGCAAGAAAATTTGTAATTCGGGAACTAAGTACATCACACGGAAGGACCTTCAGTCATAGTTGTTTTACTTTAGCTTAGCTTAAATAATGCAACAAGTGTTTCCCTTATTCGAGAATAGATGCTAGCCTTTCCATTTGCAAGCGTAGAAGTGCTTTAAATATATCACATGAAGCAGAAATTATAATACAAAATCCAATTACTGCATGAATTACAGTCTCTTTGTTTCCAATCAAAGACTAGAATTCGTTAACCAAGTAAATGAACGCTTTTCAACATTTAACAACATCACAATAATGAGTAAGTGAAAAAACAGAGCTCAAGTAACACGAATTCGAAACGTAAGCTTCATAAATCCCTTTTGCCTAAAGTGACTGCATGGGCTGCGATATCGGCACAAGGAATAGTCGGCCCTTATGTTTTTGAAGAACTAAACGGGAACGAGCAACTAACAGTCGATTGAGAACGTTGTGTGGACATGTTTCATGCCTTCTTGGTAGAGATAATTGAAAATCTCATGAATTTTGACCTTTGGGTTCTACAGTGAACTGTGTCCGTTCTTTGAATTCGACACATGTACCACCCGAACAGTGACAAGCAAATATTGTTCGATCTTGGTCTTGCTCAAATCCTTCTACTACTACCAATATTTAGTATTAAAATTTAGTAAAGCAAATTGAAAATTTCAAATACTAAACATATTTTATCCCAAGAAATGAATATATATTAAAGTTAAAAATTAACTTATAAATTCACCCAAAGTAATTGGTATTCATGTGGTATTGCGTGTTTGGTCTTAATCTTGCATATTCGGTCTTGGTTTTAATCTTGGTCTTGTTCTTTCGGACTCCGCTTAATGCGCCCTGCAAAGACTCATGAGGTTTTGAAGAAGCTATATATATCTGAACTGGAAAACCATTCCTAACTATAACCAAAGAACATGGTTTAACAGAACAAAACTGTGTCACACGCCTCCAATACCTTCAAGAGTGGAGACATCAATTTGTTTCCACGCAGTCCTCATATTAACCCCTATGGACTTTTTCTCAAATCTAAAGTGTACTATTTCTCTGCGTGCTGAACCGTCATGATAAATTTTGCTGTTCGTTAGCTTAATTATATATAATTTATAATTAGATGAAATTATTTTTAGGAAGCAGCTTCCTACACTATCTATTTTAATAATTAATAAAAATTTTACTACACATTATGTTAACGTTTCTTTTATATTTACGCAATTAGATATAAACTTTCTTTTGAGACATTTTATTTCATAGACCAGTTTTGGTGTTAAGTAATAAGAGCTTATTATCACAGCATTAAAAACATATTGCCTTTGTTTTTTATTTTATGAATACGTACTTAAACTCTAACATTGTTACTATTCTGTGAATTGATTTGCGTACTGTGGGCGAGCACTTGCGGCATATTGACGACAATAGATTCCTTTACTATTTCTTCATATTTTGGGGGAGGATCGTTATACTCTGAAACGTTAACAGAGGCGATACAGAATGAGATAAATATTAATCGTCTTAAATTACGAACCTGTATACGGTGGTGGACATAAGCCTCCTGGAAAGACGCCTGTTGAACTATCGTCGTAATAACCTTGATTATGATGGATTTGGCGAGCCGCTGAAACTCTCTGTACTGCTATTATGTGTGCTGGAAGACATTATTTCGTAAATAAAAGATGACATTCCTAGTCATACAAAAACAATTATCATGTTTCTGAATTTTATCTTATTTTGATATTTAGAGATGCGGGGCTAGGCGCAGTCAATTGTCTGGCATTACAATCACCATACTAATAGTCATGGGATTCCTCAGCCAGAGGGCTCCTAGCCAGACCAGAAACATACTTAAAAAAGTATATGAAATTCCTCGACCAAAGGGCTCCTATTCAGTTTAGAAACTTATTTAAAAAGGTATGTTTATGGAATTCTCAGACTCTCGTTTAGTTTTGCTTATTAGCCCCTTTGTAACTTGTGAAATTTGATTGATTAGCACTTTTCTAACCGAGACATGAAAAGGGCCTGACCTTGACATTTTTTGGACATCATAGTGAATGCAATTTTTGAAAATTCGGCATTGTAGAATTCAAAAATAATCAAGGTCCTTGTACTTGTTGAACTCAAAACCATGACGTAACGTATCAGTTATCTACGTAACCAAATTAAACAAGCAGTTTAATGTTCTTGATGTGAATTGTGATTTTGAACTCTCTTGAATTTCACAGTAAGTTTGGAGTTTTCGCAGGTGGAGTTAACTAATACCAACAGGTAGTTTGGGCGGTGTTTTATCATAGTTGTCTACTGCTGAATATGGGAACCGAATAGTTTGACATAATACTAACCAAGAACGTTAAACTTTTTGTTAATTTTAAATACTTGTCACTTACCTCTCTCTTCATAACTTTGCCTGACTTTTTGGATCAATCCCCCGCATGACAGCAAAAAAACAAAAATTAATACCAACACTACAAAGAGTTCAAAATTCATTATCAAAATCGATTCTTAAGGCATTTATCATTAGAAAAGTGGATGTAGAATGTATAACTTTGGCAGTAATCTATAATGAAAAGAAAAAAGTAATTAATACACTTAAGTAGATACTGTAATATTAGTAGAAAAGTTGCGTTTGCGTTATAGACGTAATCTGTAGGATACAATCAGTAGCGGCAATAACACTTGAATTCGCATTAATAAATGTACTAAGTACGCACATGAATTGTAGGTTATATGATTTTTAAAGGAGCCAGGTATAAGGTGAACGTACGTCAAAATTAATAGAGTAAGAGAAGATTAGAAATAAGTAGGTATTAGATAGAGTAGGAGAACAGAGGGCGGTATGGAAGTCCTTCTGAGGCATGAAGGATTAGTTAGAGACATATTTGAAGCAGAACAGGATTAGAAGTAGATCTAGATTGGATTAGTGTCCATAAATAGTTAACCACGCTCTAGTTTTAGAGAAATGCGAAGATTGGTTCAGGATAGGACCTAGTGGAGGAAATTTTAACCATAACATCCCACAGCGTATTACTTTGAGGTGAAAATCCCACTATTCGTAAACTTTTTTTCTTCGTGTATGATCAAAACTGATATTTAAAAAGTAATTTTAAGTACATCGTCTTTACGAATGATAGAGGCATTACTTAAAAGAAATCGTTAAAATCGTTTATTGGCTTGCGAGAAAATTAATTTTGAATTTATGTCAGTTTACCAGTAGTGTATTTGTGTAACTGTGAGTTTATATTATTCCATAACAGAGTAAAACTTTTGTTATTGTAGATTTAGAAAATGCACTTAAAGCTTTACTACAATTTGAATTAGATGTCTTTTATTATTATTGAATTTTCTTTATAGACGATTATCTTGTCTCTTATATTTTGCTGTTGTTTTGATGGTAGTCACCATTATTTGTTTAGTACAGCATGCGTTGTTTCCTATTCTAGAAATCAAAAATAAGATAATTACTGAAAATATGATCTGAGACAGCACTTTCTTCACTTAATTGTCTTTTTGTGTACAACGGGATTAAATATAAGTCAAGGTGCAACATAATAAAATTACCGTGTTTTTACATTGGTTGGTTCAGTGTACCTAGACTATCTTGTCTTATTTTTGCTTTAATTTATTTAAACTGCTTTGTTGCGTGTAGGCATCATAATTTTGATAGGTAAATAGGACTGAGGAATTCTGTCGCCTGAAAACTGATTGAAAAACTCGAGATAGTGCGCCATTGTTCTTCTGCCTTATAACTTTGTTTGAAAAGCGGGACACAAGTAGATGAAAGTGTCATTTACATTTTGTTTTATTATTTGTTTGTCGTCCGTAACACACGATAACGTTTCAGTAAGTAAGTAAGATATACTGCAAGCAATTACAATAATAATCATTACAAAACTAAAAACATTTACTTAAGCATTGTTTCTCAAAAAGGTAATATGATTGTAGTTAGTAGTCTCTATTACAAAAGTAATACGTTCGAAAATGTTATAAAAACATACCTGTCCAAGTACAGTGTGTCACATGCAGCTTCTAGGTTATCATGTAGATTTCGAATGAGCGGTTGTGCGTGATTAAATCACGATAGATAAGATATGTACGTAGTCAGACACGTTATCGATCACTATTATTTGAATTTGAAACCTAATACACAATTTGCATTTAACACTCACTACCTTAATGGAGATAGTACATAACCTGCGAAAAAAGAAATTAACAGTAATAGCATAATTACTAAAGAAATAGAAAAACGAAGGTTTTATTAAGAAGTGAATGAAATAATAAATAGAGAAGTGAAAGAAGCACGTGTCCGCAAAAATTTGTTGGGGTCCCTGTATATTATTTTGTCATTACTATGAGTTGAGAATAAATATAAGTTCTAAGTATACAACGGAAATGTCGCTGCACAGGAAGTAGAAACAGTAGGGAAAGAGTTAAGGAGAAAAATTAGCCGTTGATTTTCGGTATCTAGGAAGTCAGGTAATTCAAGATGGAAGAAGCAGTAGAGATATAAAACAAAAGATAGTGCCGGGTCGAATCGCGTTTAACAAAAAGTAGTCAATTCTATGCTTGTTAAGATTATTAAGTATTATTATCATTTATATGAGAGAACATTACTCGATTGTTAACCACGTAAATTAGTGACGGCCAGACAGTCAATCTTTTTAGTGAGAAATGAAATAAAAGGCGTAGTTTTAGTACTATACAACTGAAGGTAATGTATATCGCTATCTAGTATATTTATTGCTAATAGTAGTATTTCAAATGTTAGATAAGACCTTAAGTACAATTTAATGTAACGCAGCTTGTATACGCTACTGGTAAATTGAGAACCGAAAAAAAAGGACCGGTAATAATATCATCATCGTCTTCATAAGGTCGTCAGTCCTAAGACTGGTTGGACACGCACCTCCACTCTTTCCTATCCTGAGCTAATCTTCGCATTTCCCTAAAACTAGAACAACCCACATCCTTAACTATTTGCGAACAGTATTCAAACCTAG